CCCCCCCCCCCCTTAAGGTTTACAACGAACAAAAGCAACAATCAAGCCTCACCGGCTTCCCGGGGGAACTTTCATATGAAAAGGACGGGGGTGCTCGTGGTACCTTTTAGGCGTTAAACAAGCGGTTTTCCAACCTCTTAGGGTGTTCAACCTGAAAAGTTCCACAGCGGAAGCTTTTACGGTACCTTTTACCGTATTGAGCCGACAAAATATGGCAGGAGATGAAGTGCTGTTTTACAATTGGTACCTCTTAGGCCGAAAAATTTCAAGGGACGCCCACAAAGCAGGATCTTGGCACCTCTTATTTGGGGTTCTTTTCAAAATTCCGACGAATACCCCCGTCCGTTTTTATATGGGAGTCACCCCCCTCCCCGAGACTGTCATCTGGTTTACGGTGCTGCGAAAATGAGCAAGACTTTTGTAAGAAAACGTTAAAAAAGGGCAGTTTTTCCCTGGAAATATTGCGAGTGATATCAATATTCCTCCCACGGGCTTTCGGCCCCCAAAACAAAACCTGGTCTAGCCTGGAAGTAGGCTCAAATGGGTAAGCATTCCATCATGGAATCCCTGTGTCAAGACGAGGAATATCCGGGGGGACTCCCATATAAAAAGGACGGGGATGCTCGTCGGACATTTTGAAAAGAACCCTTAAGAGTTACCAAGATCTCGTTTTATGAGCTTGGCTCCTAAAAGGTACGCCGAGCACTCCGTCTTTTTCATATGAGAGTTCAACCTGGGAATATGAAAGTTACAATTTCGGCAACGGAGGCCCTCTAGATGTCTCCAAACAGAACACACACGAAATAAATCATCGTGTAATTTGGACGCGGAATCGATTATTGCCCGAACAGGGTAACCAGTAGGCTCGATTTCCGCCGCTCTCTCGTGTCTGGTCTACGTTCCTTTCCCGAACAGCGGCTGGTAATCGAGCCTAGGTAACCAGGAAAATCACGTTTATTACGTACACGGTCATCATTTCCGGGTTATGGAGAAAGGAAATTGAAGGTGCCAACAACTACAGCCAAATCTGTACTTTGTATGGACGCTTCTGTACAATAGGCAGTTCACGTGATCCCAGAGAAACCTGAGGGGATAAATGATTTTTGGAAACAACCGTAATCCAAGGCTTTTTTCCAAAATCAGCAAACCAAACGAAATATCACTGAATAGCTATAAAGGCTAACTATGGCATGAATCATTTTACAGTACAATGAATCAATTTTTTTTGCAATCCCAAATGGGAATCTGCTTCATAAAAATTAGCGCGTTTAGCGGGGCTTGCTACTTTTTAATGTGAAAACATAGGAAAATTAAGCTAGAATGCCGGATCAAGGTATACCAGGGACAGTATAAAACACTAGCCATTTGACAAAGCTTGTTGATATTTCACCACTTTTTTGACATCGCTTTGATAGCTTTCGTTTCAAATGGCTAATCAAAATAGAAGAATTACGAAAGGCAAGAAATTTGCTTTCTCCTGGGGCTTCCTCCATTATCACAGGAGAAGCTTTGTGACTTTGTGACTTTGTGACTTTGTGAGTAAAAGGATCTACAGCCTGATTACGTCGATTACTGGGAGTGTACTACACTTTGGCGAACAGCTGATTGACACACCACAGAGTCTCCATGACACATAACGCTAGGTAAGTTTTTATTAGTTTGGAATGAGGACTTCAATCCAGTCATCAGTTAACTGATCTCCAGAGCTAATCATAAGTATACTAACAGCTTTAAAAATGTTTCTGTAGTTTGCCTCTTCTAGATAACGTTCATCTTTAGACGTAACTACACTGTATAACTAAAAGTCCGCTATCTTGGCACGTGATTGGCACGTGATTACCACTAAAGTAAACTTAGTATACATGTAACAATATGTTTTCAATCTAAGCTTCGTAAAGAACCATATTGGTAAAATCTACTACCGTACACAACAGGGTTTAAACAATAACGAGGTATACGAAAATAAGTTGTGTAACTTTGAAGTAAGATTGGAACTGAATTTAGTACAGTGCTGAGTTCGTTTGAGCGCACTATATAACTACTTAAACTTGTTACTTGTAATATAGTGTGGTAACAAATAAGTCTAGTTTTCGTTTTTTACAAGATTAGACTTACATCACGTTTCTGACAATACTTTAAATGGTATATTCAGTGTTGTTTTCATTGTGCTGTCATTAATTTTCTTAGGAAACCGCTTAGTTCTAAATACAAACAATAACACACACGGTAATTCACCGAAACAGTAAGGCGCAGGTCAAACGATGAACTCCTCATGAGACAAACTTAACTGCAATTTGAGCTCTCTCGTTGGGTCAAACGTAGAACTTAATTCGGATTTAAAGCAGACGGATGGAACGTGTTGAAGGATTGAAATTCAGCTGGACGAACTCACCAGCTGAGTCAAACGTCGAACTTAAATTAATTCGCTCAATTTAGTTCGTCTCATATCAAGTTCGACGTTTGACCTTGGCCTAAAAGCTACCAAGTGGGCCTTCTTCATTGTAACGAACGTTCACTTGGTACAATACAGCCTGGGCAATGTCATGATGACAAGCTACGTACTCGGACATCCAAACAAAGAACATTCAGGCTTAACTGGTTAAAGTAACTTTGTCGGTTTAGTGTCTGCTGTTTTTGTTTGCTGTTCAGTATGAGGATTTTCGGTCGTGACCGTTTGTTGCAATGGGCCATTTCAAACCTTAAATTGTATCATTCAGTTACAGTTAGCTAGCTGAATGTAAAATTTCACCGACCTTATTCACATGTCTATCCAATACAGCTTCGTTCTAAGACATCACAACGTGGAAGAATACCACTTAGTCACCTAGTAACCGATTGCCTTTGATTCGTTGGTGTCTTTTTGCCATACTTAACGCAAGCAGGCTTTAACTGCACATTTCTAACTACACAGATATATTCCTAAATAGGACTCGATTTGGTAAGGCAACGAAGATTGAACAAAATCTAATAGACGTTGGAAATAATAAGAGTTTAACTTCCAGTAGAAACAATTATTTTGAATCTTCAGCAGATAAAGTTATGTCAAGACTACTACGAAGCAAGATGTAGCAAATGACAGCTTTTTCTAGTTAATTAAAAGCAAAGTGCTGGCTATCCAGAATCCGTTTTGCTGCTGAGTAATAAACTTCCTACGTCCAAACTTCTAACATCAATTTAAATTGATGTGTTTCAGTTTTGCTTTGGCTGTCATTGTACATTGATTCCTTATAAACCACGCAATCATGAAACTTCAGTTCATAATTAATTGCTTAAAACGTTTCTTAGCGTTATGTTGCTAAACACTTGCGATCTCTTTTAGAGCGGAAGTTTCATTAGTTACCACAATACACAAACACTGGTATTGACGTTCCTGAGAGATGGAGGATCGAATGCATTTCTACACATACGTCGCTGACAACTCAAATTCAAATATTTTAAGGTGGTGTTAACTTTCAGAGCCTCCATGATACACTGGATTCCATCATCAGCGATCCAGTTGTTACACAAATCCAAATCTGTCAAGGTGGTATTAACTTTCAGAGTCTCGGAGATCAACTCACATTCGGAGTCTCCAATCTTACTCCTGTTCCAGGTGGAATCCATGATTTCGACATCTTTCAGCTTCAAGCAAGTCAAGGTTGAGTTGACTGTAAGAGCTTTAAAGAAAGAAGCCAGAGCAGAAGGGTCTTCACACAGGCAGGAACTCAAATTTAAATGAGTCAAAGCTGTATTGCTAGCAAGGAATTCTCGTGGCACTTTGAAACGCGACCTCGCTTTATCCAAGTCGAGTTCCTTCAAGGTTTTATTGTCCATTAGAGATGTAAAGAAATCCTGTGCATCAGGTGGCCGCAAATCATTTTGACCCAGTCTCAAACAAGACAAGGTGGTGTTGACCTTAAGGGCATCTGATAACTGACAAAAAGGAAGATGGATGCATCCTTTGGACGGGAAAACAGCACAAAGGCCAGTCAAATCCAAAGTCGATAAGGTGGTATTTTGTTTAAGGGCATCAAAAAGATCGATAGCACCACGCTTATCAACCTGGGTGTGCCTCATATTCAGATCATTTAGAGCCTTATTGCTCTTAAGGGCCTCAGAGAAGAAGTGTGCACCTACACCCCCAATTTTATTAAAACTGAAATCTAAAGAAGTCAGGGTGTTGTTGCGAGTAAGGGCTTCGCAAACGTATTGGGTACCATCTGCACCAATCTCAGTCGAACTTAAACGTAACTTCTTCAACGTAGCATTAACTTGAAGAACGTCAGAGAGAGCTTTGGCACCACTGTCACCAATCCCATTATTACTTAAATCTAAGCTGGTCAACGCGGCGTTGACTTTAAGGGCCTCAGACAGAGCTTGGGCATCAATCCTAGTATCACTCACATTTAAGGACGTCAAGGTGCCATTCGCTGTAAGAGCCAAAGAAAGACATTTGGAACCGATAGAAAGAAGTCTGTTTCCACTTAAATTCAGAGTAGTCAGAGTGGCATTGGTTTTAAGACTTTCTGAGAGATAGTAGGCAGCGACACAATCAATCTCATTATCCTTCAAATTCAGGTTTGTCAAAGTGGTGTTTGTTTTCAGTGACTCAGAGAGAGAAAATAAGCCATAGTCGTCCATAGTTTCAACCATCCCAGTTGAAAATTCATCAAGCTTTTTCAAAGCCTCAGGAAGGGTGCAGCGACCGATTTGATGTAAGATCAGTGTCATGGAAATCTCTTGTGGACAAAGAGATTTTCCTTGCCTTTGTTCACCAACCTTGTTATAGGATAAATTCAAAGTGGTTAAAGAAGTGTTGAGTTTAATAGCCTTCGAAAGAAACTTGGTTCCTGATGCAGTAATATCATTGTCACTTAGGTCTAACTTGGTCAAAGTAGTATTCACTTCAAGCGCGTCAGACAGTGCTTGGGCACCAGAGGCGCCAATCTGGTTAGACCTTAGATCCAGGTTGGTCAGACTGCTGTTGACCTTCAAAGCGCCAGAGAAAGCCTCTGCCCCAAAGGGACCGATTTTGCCAAAGGTGTCGCTCAAGTGCAAAGAATCCAGAGTGGTATTGTATTTGAGGGCCTCAGAAAAAGGTCCGACAAGACGGGCAAAGTTAGACCAGCCGCGACATGTACGGAACGTGGAGTACTCATCCAACCACTTGATGAATGCGTTTGATTTCAGCGGTTGGTGATAATCACGGGGAAAGGAAAGTCTTCCAATGGCTAAAAATTCTAGTTTGAGAGAGGAACCTAAAGTTAAAATATAATGATCTCTATGTTCGCTAGCTGCGTATTCTGAGCACTCCAAAGCGAGCAGCAAAAGCATCTGGAGCTCTTCGATGTCCTCAGCATTTCCAAGTGCTAGTGAATTTATGCGAGAGCAAATACTTTTGACAAGATCCAAGGCCTTTTCTTTCGATTTCAAGCTAAGAATTCCACTCATGAACAAATATACTTGTCTCAACGGTGGTTCAAAATAGCTTTCATCAGCAACTTTTGCATTTAGGTCAATCTCGCCACTGAGAATCTGAAAGGCGAGAAAGAAGCCTGCAAAATATTGCTGGAACCCATACCACAGACGCGAAGTACCTCTTACAGTCTGGGCTGACGTGAACCCGGGTAACTCTTTTATGTTTAAAGTCCCTTCGTCTTCCTCAGAGTCGGAGTCTCCTTTACGTTGGAGCTTAAAAGCTATGAGCCCCAGAGAAGTGAGATGGTCTTTGTAGACTTCAATCAGATCTTCATCGCTGCTCGACTTCCCCTTTATGGTTTCATTTCTTCTCAAGGCGCAAAGTATCATTTCTGTGTACAGCTGGGTTCTGCTTGTTGAGAAAACACCATTCAGGTCTTTACAAAGAAGACAGAGGAGTGCTGTGTATATGGGATTACCGGGGAACAATTCTTTCCGCAAGTTGTCAAACTCGTCCAACAAGTCGAGCAGCTTCTTAGCCAAACTCTCCTGGTCTTTAAAGTAATCGCAGATGAATTTCTTTCCATCTTCTTCAGTGAATCCCAGTATCTCCAGCCAAGTACCACAGCACTCTCTAACTTTCAGTGCTGTTGCTCTTTCGGCGGTAAGAAGGAAGTAGCATCGTGGCAATTCTCTTTTAACCAGCTGGGAAATCATCTGCAGGTTATCTGGAGACATGTCGTCAAGTCCATCGAGTATCAACAAAACTTTGGACTGATTTTCTTGGATAAACTTAAAGAACATTTCCTTAGATTGCTCGTCAACATCCTCAGGAAGAAGTTGAGAGTCGATTGCTTTCCAAATGTCTGATGAGATCTCTCCACATTTAAGTGACAGAAGTACCTGGATTTGGGGTGAAAGCTTCTCCAATTCTTCTTGATTACTAGCCCAGTGGTAGGCCAGTTTCTGACAGTAGGTCGTCTTTCCCATGCCAGATTTTCCCTCAATTAGCACAGTCCTTGGTTTCTGACCATGTTTGTCTACTCTGAAGATATCTGTCAAATGGTCGATTTGCCCGATTTGCCCGATTTTCCCGTCCTTTTTAACGATTTTTAGCCTGGTGAAAAGATTTACTAGGTTAAAGTTAAACTCCTCACACCACGGAGGGGACTGCAGCTTGCCTTCCTCTTCTCTGCATCCTTGGCGAATTTTTTCCACGATATCAGTAGGAAAGTACGTCTCTAGAAACGAAATAAATAGAATTTGTGACTATCACTTAACAACATGATTAAATGTTCTCTCAAATACACCGACATCCACACCCATAAGGCCGGTAAATAAAAGGATTTTTTTGGACTAAAATTTGTAAACATCATTGACCAGTAGTTTAAAGCAATAACACCCCCGAGTCCTTGAAACTTTGTGTTCTTTCCTCAGCACCCCGATAATAATTTCAGTCCTAAAACACTACATGCATTAATTCTGGTTTGACCCCTCGCTTGAGTAATTTTGTCACGATATTCTGTTCCTTTCTAAAACTGACTACAACACCAAAGTAATGACCTAACAACTGTCAAGAAATACAAGTGAAGTACAAAAAAAAGGAGGCCACTTCAATTGTTAATTGTTCCGAGGGCAAGACTCTCATGCGTTGACATCTGAAAGGATGGAGATGCTGGTCGTCTCTTTTAGAGTGTAGATTGTGAATTTTGTATCCCTTAGAGTGGTAAGGTGAAGACATCAATGCTTTTACCATTCAAGGCATTCAGTTTAGGATTGCACGTTAGGAAATAAGAAAACGCCGTCGTAGCCTGTCATGGTGAGTTTAGATAGAATGGATGAAATCAAATTTCTGGCTTCATGAATGCAATAAAGCATTCGATAATGTATATATCGTTATTTAAGACACTAGTGTCTTAGCTCTTATTTGTTTGTCTGGTGTAAATGTTATCTGTTAGGGGGCAAACAAAGCTTGAATGAAACCGCCCTCGGTTAGTCTCGGCTTGATACAAATTTTCCAACAAGCATTTTGATCTGGTCAAAAATGCTTATAAATCAACTTTTTGTTTGCTAAGATTTCATTAACGCGTTTTTTGGCTTCATCCGTTCTCTTCCCAGAGCCTTCCTTTCAATTGATTAAGTTTTTCGACAAATAAGTCATATAAGTCCTATTCACGAGAGACTTACGAGACTTACGACTTACATAAGTATGAAACCTCGAAACTAAGACCCTGCGTTATTGTTCGTCTTGCATGGCACCAGTGTCGCCTCGTTTTAACCTGATAATGTGTTAGACCCTCTTTGAAAACTATCGGTGACTTTCGGACGCGACTTTTATTCTTCTAACTTGTGAGATATTTTAGTATTCTGAATAACAGCAGAACGTTCCCCACATTATACGACCGACGCATTGGTTGCAAAACCCAGGAAAGTATACCTTGTTTCAGGTCTAGATGTATGAGCACTCTATGCTGGTTCACGGCTTTAGTTATGGAAAGCTAGGAGAGCCTGGCTGACGCAGAGTCAGAAAGAAGACTGACAACCCGAAAGTAGGTACTAGGCTAGCAGCACAGAGGTACCGAACAACAGGGAGCTTAATGCTCAAGGTAACGCTGACGGATTATGGAGCAGTTCACAGACAGTAACAGCAACCTGCGGTGGAACAAGACGTTCTATAAAGCGCACCAAGTTGCCAAAGATGGATGACCAATCAACCTGGAAGAAGTTTTTTTCTGGTATTTGAGGCGACCCTGTTCGGTTCTATTGAGGGGAAGCTAGATTAGTTTGAGAAAATCGTATATGATTTTTGTTCCACGTTATGAGGAGTTGGAGAGGAGAGAGAGAGAGAGAGAGAGAGAGAGAGAGAGAGAGAGAGAGAGAGAGAGAGAGAGAGAGAGAGAGNTCGGTTCTATTGAGGGGAAGCTAGATTAGTTTGAGAAAATCGTATATGATTTTTGTTCCACGTTATGAGGAGTTGGAGAGGAGAGAGAGAGAGAGAGAAGTGAAGATGGAGCTGGCAGATAGCGGATAGGTGGCACAAAGGTACCCACAAAGGTTCTCTTGCTGTGCTGCCATCTTGTATTTACATCCTGATCATCTACATCCTCATCTGTAAAAACTTCAATTTGTTCTTTAGTGTCACTGTGACCTCTTCTCGCAACCCCATATCCTCCAGTTTAGCTGTATTGAATCTTTTCCGGCAGGTGCCTCCTACTAGCCTCTTCGCAGCAAGCTTCATTCTAAATTTTCCAGTCACTAGGAGATAATCAGATTCAATACTCGCTCCCCCATAACTTTGACATCAAGGAGCGTCTTACGCCTTACACCTAACCCCCAACCTGGAGGACCAGGGGACCACTCTTCGTCTGGCCTCTGCCTTTCGACCTGTCCGGCATGGGTGACCCTACCAGGGGTTTAGAACTCTCAAAGGCATAGCTCTAAGGGTAATACAGATATGAAATCCGCCCCAACACTACAAGGTGGTGATCCCGACGGGGTAGAGGGCAGAGTGTGTTCGACGATAAAAAAAAGAAAAGGGGATGAAACGGAAGCACTTCACCAAGAGTCTTCAAAAGTTCTAGCCAATATTAATTGATATAATTTGTAAGGAAAAATCATCTTTAACAACCTTTGTAGTAGAGAATGGGTTGGAAGCTGTAATGCCGGGTTTCTGGTTTGTGTAGAAAATGCCTCTATGGTTTGGAATACCATCCAGAGATACAGACGTTCGAAGAGAGATCTACATGCAATCTGGCCTGAACCTAGTAACGCTTATGGCTTAGTAACACATAATTGTTCTTTTTCAGTTCGGGAGTTCTTCTACATTACCGCGAGGGCGTCCAGTTTATTAAAAAACTACTATGATGCGTTTCGCTAGAGTGCTTACGGTTTCGGTAATCACAAATGTTTTCTAGGAGCGGATGATTAGCCAGATGCCTAACCTTCAAGACCTGAAGGAGGTCGGTTTTCGGTCAGGGTTTTCTTTCCCTTAGATTACTGCAGTGCTGTACATGCTCACGAGCTTCATCTGCGCGAGATAGTGATAGGGTCATTCTTTGTCTGAACTCTACCCAGGGAATGGCTAGAGTGGACATGGAGCGAGATGAGAACTGTAGCCAGAGACAGAGCAGCGTGGAGACAGAGTGGACAGGTAGCGGGTAACATGATGCGTTTCAGATGTGGCTCTCTTTAGGTTATTCCACTACAAGTAGCAGCCCGTTGAGACTGACCGTACGTTTGCTTCACTCTTGGTCGTGCCCATTGAGATGGCGTCACAGGGACTCAGTAGTATGGTTAGGGGGCGGCGATTGGTGAGGTTTATGTCTTTCTTGAAGTCCTTCATGAAGGCTGAAGAATCAGATTCAGTGGGTCAGCTAAAAAGCTGAGGGTTTTTGTCTTTGGGTATGCTCCCATTGTACAATTCATGAGCTGGCCACTGTAAATATCCAACTCGGACGCACGAAATAGCTGTAAACAAGAGGGCATTATGGTGGACATGAGCCAAAGGAAATGAACATGGATTGGACTCCGGCAGTGGTGCCGAAGAAGGTTTGTTCTGTGACAAGGAAAACGGGGAAGGCCACGACAAATTTGGAGAAGGTCAGCGGAGAAAGAACTTAAGTCCATGTATCTGACCTGGAATGAAGGCGACACAAGACCGCATCAGCTGGGGAGAAAGACTGTAGAGGCCTTATGCGTTTCACTGAGCAACGAGGACGGATGGAGTCAGATGGCTTTTCAAGCTGTGAAGTTTAAAGTCTGCCTTAGTGAAGGGAAGAAACAAAGCAATAAACTTGCACCTTCAAAAGAGATTAGAATTCAAACAGTGCAAGGAGAGCCTGTCAAGATTATTGGCACACGAAATTCTCTCCCCCTGAATGACAGGCAGATTCAGAAGAAGATAGAGGAAATTTTAGAGCAATAGATAGGTGTGACCTTCCAGGTAAGCTGAAAATGTTGTGGTTGTAGCTTGACCTGCTTTTCAGACTGTCTGTAGGTGTATGAGATAGCTTGAACTACTTGATTCTTGCTCTCCTATGTATATCACCAGAGTTATCTCAAATTTCGTCTTTCCTATTGCTGGTGTCACTGTCATGCCATCACAAATAAAGGCGGCAACCATCCAATAAATTAAGTCAAGAGTCTGAGATATGATAGAAGAATGATATAAAAACAACCTCGCGAAGATTTAGGTCTGTACGGTTTTTCGTGCCTGCATCATTCGGAGAAATTTGTAGAGTTTCGTATGGAACTAATTGTTTCAAATTTCGTCAAAACGTTTGTCTTCCCTGTATTCGCCTCCGTTAGTAATGATCTAAATCCTCTTCACAGACACTTCAAAAATGCAAAATGACCGCCATTTTGTCAACAACCGAGCACCGCAAGGCTATTCACGTTCTACGACAGGATAGTTAGCGATTAGCATCGCCAATAGGAGAACAGAATTCGTTATAGAACGCCTGTAGATTTTTTCTAGAGTGAGAGACAATAGGCCATTTCCGAGTTGCCCATTTGCTTCTGCACTAAAGAGTGTTCATTCATATGAAAATGTGTTTCACCTGCACGTTTATTTCATGCAAATCAAACTGTTTTGCACATAGACAGTTTTGCATGAGGACTCGTTTTGACGCAGAAGCAGAGGGCAACCCGGAAATAGCTATTCTTTCCGGCCTGCTAGATCTGAGAAATCAAAAAACCCTTCAGTCGTTGCGAGGATATTAAGTTGCAATGCAAAGTAGGGTAGTTGATCCGCACAACATAAATATGACAAAACTAACCTTCCTTTGGAGGGATCATCGCGTCAACTTGCACTTTCACCTTCTTGAGCTCAGTTTCCACTTCTGACAACCTGTCTTTTATGTCGTCATCGTCCTTCTTCCACTCCTTGAGAAGATCTATGAACTCATCTTCAAGTTCCGGGTCCATGGATTCGGTCTTGAGCTTGTCGATAGCTACTGCATACTGGGCCCCTCCTAATCTCACTAATGCTTCTCGGATGTCATGCCAATACTGTTGGAACGTCACATCATCCACAGACGCCTTCTCAGCATGTCCATAAATGGTGTTTCTAAAATACTTGACACGGACAATGTCAGCCTCACAACTTATGTCTCCGGGAGAAGGAAGTTTGTCCCAACCAGTCACTGGAGGTTTCAATCCGCATATGTTCCTCAGCAGGACAACTATTACAGTGATGTCAAAGTGTGCCGATGATAGCGAAGAGGGTACGGCAGGGTACAGTTTACTCCACTGCATTGGATTAACGATTCTCTTTTTCCTTAGCGATTGTATGGTGGTCTTACTTCTTGCCAAAACTGTGTGAAGATTTCCTGGTGCATGGATACTGTCGAATTTATCCCTCAGGGCTTGGGAACCAACGTCAACCAGCAGACGACACAGCCTTGCAAAGTTGGTTGTTTCCTTGGTGGATGTCACTGGCGGTGGAGCAGAAGCCATTGGAAAAAACCAGTTTTGTTTCCTAATCCAACAACAACAACAAAAAAACATTAAACGAAAGTGTTACTATTAATCCCAGATGTCTGCTGAAACAGCTTTTTCCAGGCCGTTGATCGCACCGTTGGTTTCATTCACGTGATTGAAAAAAGTGATCACGTGATGACGAGTTTCATGATCGTGTGATGAGTGAATCTCTCCTCGGGGAAGCTGCTTTACAGTTTGTTTACAAGTTGGTTGCAGCTTTTCACACTTTCTAGCAAGATAAAATTCAAGCTATGTTACAGAGAATTGTTCGACAGTTGCAAAATCCATCGCAAGGATAAGATTTACTTTGAACTTGGTACTTTTGAGAAATTTACGACAGCGTGCGGCAAACTGTAGCCAAGAGACGATTGTCATCACGTGATCACCATTTTTGAATAAGTATCTGAAACCAAAGGCGCGTGTAACAGCCTGAAAAAAAAAGCGATTCCAACAAACGTCTGGGATCAATACTAGACTCTAAAGAAACTATTGGGCTGCGTAGGAGGACAAGGGAGACACTCAGCGTTTTAAGGTGATTCGTCAGTATTGCATTGGGCATCCCTACTGCGCGCGATTTTCGCGTCATTAGCGCGCGCACATAAGCGCGTGCACGAATACAACGTAAGAGATTTCCCTCAAGCTAAGCTCGACCGCGAAATAAATGCTCGTTTTCTCTTAAACGAGCACGGTGACCCCCACTTTTTAATGCATGAATTTAAATTACACAAGGTTATTTACAATATGTCTCGATTTGAAGAAAAGTTTAAAATTCTGCTTATAAATATTTTGATTTTAATGCTCTAAAGAACCCGTGTTTAGGTAGTGCTGGGTAGGTGAGCACGCAGAAAATTCTTAAGTTTGTAGTATAATCGTAACTCCTGTTTAGTTAACATGGTTTAAAATGTAAGTTCAGGGCCTATTTTGTTTAACTTCCCTAATAAACTAATCCAATAAGTGCTTTTCTTAGAATTTCTAGTGCCCCTTTCTACTAACTAAGGTTAAGTAATGACAACCTAGTCGGCAGCAAAGTTGCTAAAAAGACTATCCATGTTGTGCAAAAACGAGCACGGCGATCCCTATTTTTAATTCCATTTTTCTGATATATACATAACATGGTTACCAGCTGGATGAAGTTTGAGAAATTTTTTAACAACTTGAATTTGATCGAGGTAAATTTATTGTCGCGGTGAGTTAGTGAAGCTGGCCTTTCGATCAAAAGTGTCACATTCGCCTTTTGGGCTCGTTCGCCACTTTTTTGTTCTTACCACATTTTGACCTCATCTATAATCTATTACCGAACAGACACACGACAACATGGAATCTCTTTGATAAACGCTACACGCTTACGTATGCTAAGTATTAATTGCACGGCTCTGCTAGCTATGATATAAAATTATTCTGTTATTGAATTATGTAATCCGCTGTAATAATGAAGAATGAAAATTAGCGGTTTTTGAAAGAGTAAATGCCAAATTCGCCGTCATGTCCCGGGGGTCGAGTGTCTGTAATTTAAATTGACTGATGCATTAGTTTTGCTTCACGACTGTCTGCTGTTGCAGAAAATAACAGTCCAGACGATTCTACGACTCCGGTATTGTTTGCGATCACTAAACTAATCTTTTGATGAACCGATAGTCCTACACACATCTAAAACTGAAGCAGATCCTAAGAGTAAACTATAAAGCATTGCACTTTGCTAACTAAAAAACAGGTAATAAAATCGGAGTTCTCGCTTCTATTTCCCGCCATACAGTAATGTATTTAATACGTTATCGTGCTAACATTGCATGACGTATTACAAATTAAACCGCCAAAAGTAGAAATTAAATTAATCAAAAAGAAACATTGGATTTCAGAAATTTTCTACTAAAAAAACTCCAGAAAGGAAGACCTCATTGCTATCGATCAAAGACATCCGACTGCTTTTTTGGAATTGACTCAAACACATTAACTGGAGACACCAGATGAACCGAAAATTAGTAACGGCTGATTATTGAAGGAACAACCACGTTGTTGAAATCCTACATTCATTAGGTTGTCAAAGAAATAACTACACTGTTTTCACGGAGAGGAAAAGTAATCTTTATATCTTAATTCTCGTTTAATTGGCATCATTGTCCTACTTTCCTACGTTACCAAATAAAGGATTGATCGATTGATTTGCTATATAAACAGTGTTCGTAGTTAGTAACTATGTACTGTTTTATCGGTTGGCACCTTGTTTAATTAATGAAGCGCACAACTTGAGTCAAGGCATTAATTATTGTGCTAATGTTGCATAGCGCATCACAATTTTAACGGCCAAAAATAGAAACCAAATTTATTATTTGAAAAAATTACTTCACAATGATTGGTTGAGAGCAAGGCAATTTATCGTTAACTCTTTTAAATTTGCACTGCAGTGCAAATTAACGCGCGCACGTTCGTGATTTCATGAGTCTACATCTATATCTACATCGACATACTCAATATTATTAAAATGAGCAATAGTAGGAAGAATGAGGTATTAATAATTTACACAACACGTGATATTTGAAAATTCTTTCAGATTACACTCGCCTCAGTAAAGGCTCATGCAATTTTGAGATAATTTTCAAATATCACCGTAGTGTAAATCCTTGATCGATTGCACTTGCATTCACGCGATTACCTATGCTAATCAAAAGGAAACTTTAAATTCCAGAAATTTTCTCCTTAAAAACTCAAAAGAAGAAGACTTCGTTGCCTTCCATCAAAGAAATCAGACTACGTTTTTGAAGTCGACTTGATTAACCTTATGGACCGAAAAATTTGTCATGGCTGATTGAAGGAACAACCGCCGAACGCCATGTCGCCGAAATCCTTCACATAGACAGGCTGTTTTCACTGAACGGAATAGCGATGGTTATATTTCAATACTCGTTTTATTGGCATCAGCATAACCACTGTTAAATAAAGGCCTTTCTTTTTTATGGGGTTTCGCTTCGCGATTGTCTGCTATCGTGAGAAATAACAACGGTCAATTAATGGTCCAGACGATTTTACATTTACAGTTTTGTTTGCGATCACTAAACTGATTCTTTCGATAATCTGATTTCTCTACACACACCTAAAACTGAAGCACATCCTAAGAATAAACTACAAAAAATATTGCCCTTGGCAAACAAGTAATCGGAGAATACACCTCTATTTCCCGCCATGAAGTAATGTATTTAAAATACATTAAAATGCATTATCGTGCTAACGTTGCATAACGTACCAGCAATTTAACCGCCAAAAATAGGAACTAAATTAATTCAGGCATTTTTTCCTAAAAACTCAACAAAAGAGCAACTCGTTCCCTTTCAATCAATGAATCTGATTGCGTTCTTGAAATCGACTTAAATTGCAAGAACACTGACCAGATGAACCAAAAATTGGCCATGGCTGATTGAAGGAACAACTGAAACCCTTCATATAGACACGCTGTTTTTGCTGAACGGAATAGCGATGGTTATATTTCAATACTTGTTTGGCATCAGCATTACCACTGTTTATCAGTTATTGTTTAATAAATAAAGCACGGATCATGAGCGCATTTTCATACTATTTTCGCGCATTTTCGAGCTAATGTTGCATAACGTATTACAAATTTAACCGCAAAATAGAAACTAGATAATTAAAAGAACCATTAAATTTCAGAAATTTTCTCCTTAGAACTGCAGTGTCGAAAGAGAAGAGCTCATTGCCTTCACTTTATCAAATTAGATTGCGTTCTTGACGTGGACTGGAAAATATTAACCAGATAACACGAAAAGCGGTCATGGCTGAACAAACGCTATATCGCTAAAATCTTGTATATTAATTTAGCCGTCCACGAAATAAATGTACTATTTCCACTGAAAGGAAAACCGATCGTATGTCATAACACTCGTTTCACTTATATCAGTGATTTGCCGTATAACCACTGCTCTATCAGTTGGCGCTTCGTTTGGTTAAGTCAGTTAATAGATTACCGATCATGAGTTAATACAAACAGTGAGCCCATACAGACAACTACAGAACTCGCAACACTAAATTGCATCATGAGCTATAAGAGACGTGGATTTTGTATACTTACAAATAAAAAAGTCCACTTACTTTCTGCAATGGAACTCTTGTACAACACTCGTGTCAACTCTCTCTTCTCTGTAGAGGTTCGAGGGTTCGTTATAGAGATCCCCTAATGTGACTGAAGGCGCAGAAGTGAAAAGGTCAGCGGAGTTTTTCCACTTTAAGCTTCTGCGGAGAAAAGAGAGAGAGGCGACTGAACATTTATTGAACACTGAAGATTAGTACAGAAATATCTACGTCAACCAGTTGACAAAATACGCGCCTAAGACTTAACTAATTATCAACTTGGACAGTAAAGTAGACAGTATATTGTAATTTTAAAAGAGCTACTTTCTACAGAAAGGAGCAAATGCTTCTCTGTTCTTGGAAACCCCCTGATTTTGTTTACTTTTCCTTGAATGTCTTAATTAATTGATTGAAATAGTTGCAACACGTAGTTCATAGACTAATCATGGTTAATCACGTATAATCACGCCTCAATATTTTAACATATCAAAATATTTCACATCCCTTTTCACTCTATCTCCAGCAATATGCATGTTAATTAAAATAAAGGTCTTTCTTTTTTTATGGGTACCGGACATTTTAGTTAAGTTTCGCCTCACGATTATCTGCAGGAAATAACAACTGTCAATAACGGTCCAGACGATTGTACACTTAAAGTTTTGTTTGCAATCACTGCACTGATTCTCTCGGTAGACTGATTGCTCTGAACACATCTAAAACTGAAACACATCCTAGGGATAAACTACACGTTGCCCTAGCTTGGCAAGCGCAAAAGAGTAATCGGAGAATACACTTCTATTTCCCGCCATATAGTGATGCATTCTAAAATACATTAACATGCATTATGGTGCTAACTTTGCATGACGTACTAGAAATTTAACCGCCAAAAATAGGAACTAAATTAATTAAAAAGAAAGAAATTTCAGACATTTTCTCCTAAAAACTCAACAAAGGAGGAACTCATCGTCTTCAATCAATGAAATCCGACTGCGCCCTTGAAATTGACTTAAACTGAACACTAACCAGATGAACCGAAAATTGGTCATGGCTGATTGAAGGAACAGCCGCCGAACCATATCACTGAAATCCTTCATATAGTAGCGCATATATTTTGTCGACGGCTAAATTAATATGCAAGATTTCAGCAACATGGCGTTTGTTCAGCCATGACCACTTTTCGTTTAATCTGGTTAATGTTTTCCAGTCGACTTTAAGAAAGCAATCTAATTTGATAAATTCAGTGAAGGTTACGAGGTCTTCCTTTTTGAGTGTTTTCTAGGAGAAAATCTCTGAAATTTAATGTTTTTTGTTAATTAGTCTACTTTCTATTTTTGGCCTTAAAATTTGTACTACGTTATGCAACACTAGCACGAAAATGCGCTCAAAATCTGCACTTTATTTATCAAACGATAACTGATAAAACAGTGGTTCGTTATAGAGATCCGTTTCGCGCTGTGACTGAAGGCGAAGAAATGAAAAGGTCAGCGGATCTTTCCCACTTTAAGCTTCTGCGAAGGAGAGAAAGTGGTGAACAAAACTTAATTGAACTCTGAAGATGAGTATACAAATATCTAAACCAGTTGACAAAATACACCCTTAGGACTTAGCTATTTATCAACGTGGACAGTACAGACCAGTATAG